TGAAATGCACCATAGCAACTTGCCAAGGCTTCTTACATAGCACTTCCCAAAGTTTTAACTTCCGTCATCTAGATGGACATCGGTAACAGCAAAGAGGAACATAATTACCTCCTAACTCCCCTCCTTGTTACACATTATATTGGCTAAGCCATTTACTGATCAGTCCTTCACTGGCATTGGATCAAAATCCTGGAATGTTCCATCTACAGTAGCGTGAATGCACAGTCTACCTATTCGATAGGTGAATGTTGTGTAGTGTTAATGTCACTGGATTATAAACATTAGCCTAGGCTAATCTTCTGAGAAAATGGGTGGTATAATTTAAATTCAATGAATAAAAATTGGGAATTGAAAGCTACTCTCAAGAATGGTGACTATGAAACTATCAATGGTTCATTTATGCCCTTTAGGGAAGTGTATTTGCCACCTTTACCTGGTCTAGCCTACATCTATCTCTACATCTATGGCAATGCAGCTGAATCTTAGATGCCCTCTGAAATGGCCCAGTAATCCACTCTGTTCAAGAATAGATCATTGTGATTTTCTTCTAGCAGATATCCAGTCTTAGGTCCTGGGTAGTGTTATTGAACAGGGAGACCTAGGGGCTCAGGTCCATAGTTCTTTGAAAGTTGTGGTAGTCAGAGTGGTTAAGAAAGCATTTAGCAGGCTTGCCTTCACTACCCAGACCAGTGAGTACAGGAGCTGGGGTGTAATGTTGTAGTTACATAGGATGTTGGTGGGGCTATTTTTGAAGTACTGTGTATAGTTCTGGTCACCCTGCTGTGGGAAGGATATCATTAAATTGGAGAGAGGTCAGAAAAGATTCACAAGGATGTTGAAAGACTGGAGGGTTTGAGTTATAGGGAGAGGCTGGATAGGCTGGGACTTCCTTCCCTGGAGCATATGAGGTTAAGGGGTGACCTGATAGAGATTTATAAAATCAGGACAGCATAGATAAGGTGAATAGCAAAATGTAGAGGAGTTCAAAAGAAGAGAGCATATTTTTAAGGTGACAGGAGAAAGATTTAAAAGGGACCTGAGGAGCAATGTTTTTACACAGAGGGTGGTTTGTATGTGGAATGAACTGCTAGACCAAGTGGTAGATGCAGGTACAGTTACAGTTAAAAGACATTTGGACATGAATAGGAAAAGTTTAGAGGGACATAGGCCAAATGCAGGCAGGTGGGACTAGTTTAGTTTGGGAAACTTGGTACTCGTGGACAAATTGGATTGAAGGGTCTGTTTCCATGCTGTATGACTCTATGCACTTCAGATTATTGAAAATAGTGCTACCTGTATCCTATCCAACAACAAGTCATGATTACTCATCATCACTGACCACCATGCTTTCAAGCTGCCTGAGACCCACTCCTCCCCAAAACTATTCAAATCTACACCTTCTTCCTCAAAACTCATCTTTTGGTTATCCTTCCAATATGTGCATGTCAATATGATGAAAAGTGTTTGCTTTGTACATATATATATATATATGTATATATACACACAACATTAATTATTTAAGAGTTTGGATTTCAAACTAATGGCATATGGGTGTTTTTATGTTTAATAATTAACTAGGTAAGTCTTTTTCAAAACCATGATTTTAAACAAGATGTGCCAGACAGCAGATGACTGACGGCGTTCTGGAGTATTAATGGAAGTGACATTATTGTATGAAATATGCTGGCAAGCTTGACAGCCTCAAAAGGTCAGGTGAGAATTGATCGAACAAATTCACTGAAACTAGGCATTCTGGCCAACAATCGTTCTTCAGAGCCACAAACAAGAGCTCTGAGGCAGAAACAGGGATTATTTTCTTGATAATCAAAGCAACAGCAAAGAGAAAGAAGCCCTTGTCTGATGGAGAATTTGTGAAAGACTTTTTGGCTTATTTATATCTCCGTCACCTACCCTTGGGGGAAAGTTTAATGTTAGAACAAACTGATCTTTCATATCACATGATTGCTATAGAGTGGAGGACATCACATCCAATATTCAAAGTTGCCTGATCAAACATTGAATTCCTGTCAATTTTACAGTTTAGGGTTTGATGACAGTATGGATTGAATTTACAGCTCAACTACCAAACTTTCTAACTTTATACAAGAACTCACAACAACGTTGAAAGTCATTGAGGAATTGACCTATATCCAGTGAAAGGCACAACAAGGGTAGAGATTTTCAACAAAATTCAATCTTCCAGAGGACAAACTTTGTGGTCTGATGACTGATGGAGCCCCTGTGATGACAGGCAAGCACAAGGGATTCATCAGTTTGATGTTCAAATCAATGCATCAGGATGTCATTACATATCTTTGCATTCTCCACCAAGAAATGTTATATTCAAATACTTTGGAGACAAAATATATGATGGAAAAGGTCATCTCAACAATCAATTTCATAAGTTCCAAGGATTTGAATCACTGGCAGTTCCAAACCTTCCTCACAGGGGTAGGATCATACATGATTGACTATATTTACAAAAGCCATGTTTGCTGACACAGCAGTGCAGCCACTTTAGCCTGATGCTATGTGAAGAGATAAAAACCTTCTAGCTTTGTTCGCAAACTCCAGGAGTATGTCCAAATGTTCATTCAGAAGTTAGAATTGCTTTATATGCAGTTGAACATGAAGAAAGTTGTTAATTTCACAATGCCATCAGCAAGGTGTGCTCAATCAATCATGAAAGGTATGCTGCATTAATCAGCAGCTTGGAAGAAAAATTCAATTCAATAAGATCATTAGAAATAGGAACAGGAGGAGACTGTTCAGCCCCTTGAGTCTGGCTGCCATTTAACAGGATCATGACTGATCTGACATTCCTCACATCCACTTTCCCCAGTCTTCCCTATACCCTAGTTCTCCTACTGATTTAAGATACATACTCATAAAGGTGCATTGACTTCCTGTTAATTTGATAGAGAGATAAATTTCCAAACATTGGACAATTTTCTTTTCTTCCCTGAACTTGCACATTGCTCCCCACAAGCAGGGAGAAAAATGAAATTTTGTCCTCGTGTGAAAAGGAAGGATGAAAGCAAGATTACTTGGGGCCCCCAATCCACAACTCTTTCTGTGAAACATTGACAATGTCTTCAGAGCTGCTTCTTGTGCCTGCCCGGAACTGGAAAATTTAGTCAGTTTTGCTTCCAATTTCAATTCTTCTCTCATCTTCACCTGGTTCATCTCTGACACTTCCCTTCCCTTCCTTGACTTCACTGTTTTTATTTCAGAGGGTAGGCTGTCCACCATGTGTTACAAGCCTACTGACTCCCACGGTTACCTCAACAACCCCTTTTCACATTCTGCTTCCTGCAAGGATTCCATCCCATTTTCCCAGTTTCTCTGTCACCATCACATTTGTTTTGATGATGCCACCCTCCACCGGGTTTCCTTTTTCCCCAACTAAGGACTCCCCCATTGTGGTTTAAAAGACCCTCAGTCCTTTCTGACCCATCTCCTGCATCAAAGATTCACAACCCTCTGAGTAAAATATTTTCTCCTCATCTCAGTCTTGAATGACTGGTCTTTTAACCTGAGGCTGTGCCCTTGTGTTCCCCAATCTCTGACTTGCAGCAACAATCTCAGTATCTACTCTTGAGTAAATTGAATATTTCAACGAAATCACCTATCAGTCTTCTAAACTCCAGAGAATATCGGCCCAGTTTGGTCAGCCTGTCATCCCAGGACAATCCCCTCATCTGGAGGATCAATTTTGTGAACCTTCAGGCTTCACTGAACCACATCTTTCCTGAAATATGGAGACTAAAACTGCACACAGCATTCTTGATGTAGTCTCACCAAAGTCCCTTGCAATTGCAGCAAGACCTCTTTCTTCCTGTACTCAAATCCCTTTGGAATAATGGACAAAATGCAATTTCCCATCCAAATTGCTCACTGTGCCTGCATGCTAACTTGTACATGGACATCCAAGTTCCTCTTCATGAAATAACTGTGCTATTTGTAAGAAGGATTCAGTGTAATGTACAAATATTATTTAAATTATAACCCTTGGAAAAAAATACTGTGCAACACATCCTAACTAATACAAATTTGCTGTTTCTGTTTAAAATCTTTTTGTTAATTCCTACTCTAACTCCATTAGATCTATTTTTATATATATTATTTATTCTTTGTCCACCTGTACTGTCATATGCAAGATTTTTGACTGGGTCAGTGTCAAAAACATCTAACATGATACAGTTCACAAAGCCCACTCCCCCAGCCTGCAACATACACATTTTGGCAATCCGTATCTAAGACAGATAATGTTGTGATGTAGACATTTATATTGCACACACTGTGGTATTGTAGATATCACTGTAATAGTCCCAGCTGCTGCCTAGAGTGTTTCACCATCTTGATCTGGATGCCCTCTCTGCAGTGGGCTTTGGTCCTTGTCATGTCTCTTCCTGTCCTCCCACAACACATTCAGGCCCCATCACAATAATTATTCCCTACTATCTTCAAATGATACACATTCAATAATGTTTGATTTCCATTCCTTCGTCAGCAAATCCATTCTCTAAGTGCTCATGCATGTTTTCATGTGACATGATTAAAACCTTCACAACAGAAAAAGACCACCAACTTTAAAATTCTGATCCTGTTTCTATAAATCAGTTTCATGGATTACTGTCATTATCTTGCTTTTGAAAAACCAATCTAGTTATGTCCTGATGCCATTTATAATGCTAGAGTCTATGGTATGCCTTGATAACAGTCCTATCCTTTGTGGGGGTGGGGGGATGGTCTTGACTTCCATTCTTCCTCTTAACTGTATAACTTTTCTTCCATGTGTCTGCTGAGGTTTGAACGCTCCTCAGAGACACTAATTAATTCAGACAATTAATATCTTTGGAATTTATTGATGAGATTTGTGAATGATGCATAGCCCAAGCTATGCACGAGTCTAAAAAAAAACTCACACACATCCATGCATTGACACTAACAAATGCGTATTCATACACATGCAGGTAATCACGTCCACGTCAACTTACAACAACACATATCACCCTGATTGGAGGAGTTCCAAATTTCATACCATAAGTGGAAATCATTTTGCTGGCCTCTCTGAACAGAAGAATTCCATTTGGCGATGATACTTCAAAATTCAACCTCTGTGACCTACAACGTATAAATAACACACTCAATAGATTGCTGATGACACAGTTGAGTGATCACACACAGACATCTTCATATAAAAGGTGATTGAAACATGGAGTATCTTCAAGTCAATTAAGAAAGGACTGGATGCAGCAATGGAAGCACTGTGGGGTATTTTTGAATGACGGGTTAAGATGAGCTGAACAGCCTTTGGTCGAAGTAAATATCTCCTAACTTTGTAAGGTTCAGAGTGTTGGACATTTGTGTGTCTTTAAGTTTAAGCTGAGTAAACCACTTGTAATCACTTTAACATGTATGGTTTCTCAACACAAAAGTCACTTTTGGCGAAAACAGGGGAAAGTTTGACCACTTGACTCCATTTTGTCCGATAGTTATTTTAGTTTGTATTAATATGCGTGGGTATTTGTTTGAGATAGGTCTGCGTACTGCTATTCTGGAGAGACTGTTTTTTGTGCTGGTGGCATTTCTGGTAAGGTCATGAGACTTGGAATTTAATGACAGGGGTTAAAATGTTAGCTGAGTTTACATGTTAATGAATAGTAGTTTGAATGTTAAACAGTTAAATTTAAGTAGTCATGAGGGAAAACTGGAGATCAAAACATGATAGAATTATACACTAGTTTGAGGGTGAGAAGTGAAGGCATAGGACTAGTGTTTTAAAGTTAAATAAAGGCAATATAAAGGTACGATTTTTATAAGTTGGCTTAAATGAACTGAGGAAATTGGGGAAAAGGTGGGGCATCAGAGGAACAGTGGTAGACATTTATGGAGATATTCCAAAAGTCTCAGCGAAGAGATATCCTGTTCAGAATCAAAGACTTTATGAGAAGCATGTACCATCTATGGTTAACTCAGGAAGTTAAGTACAATATTAAAATGAAGGAAAAATGCACAACACTGTGTGGACTAGTGGTAATTTGGAAGATTGGACAGATTTTAGAAATCAGCAAAGAATTATTATAAAGAAAGGAGGTGTAAATACAAAAATAAACTAGAAATATAAAAACAGATCATAAGACTTTCTACAAATATTTAAAAAGGGAAAGTGCAACTAAAATGAGGGTTCATCTTCAAACTTTTGGCAAAGATCTGTAGCTTGGGTTGTGGGTGAGGTTGTTGACTTGCTCACCGAGCTGACTTATTCTCGTTCAGACGTTTCGTCACCATGCTAGGTGACATCATCAATGGAGCCTCCAATAAAGCAGTGTTATTCTACTCTGCTTGGAATTTATACTGTTTGGTCCATTATGGTGATCTGTATGGGTTTGTATATGGGGTCCAATTCTATGTGTTTGTTGATTGCATTACAGGTGGAGAACCATGCCTCTAGGAATTCCCGCGCATGTCTATGTTTGGCTTGGGCTACTGTGGTTACCTTGTCCAAGTTAAACTGATGGCCTTCATTGTCTGAGTGTACTGATATTAGGGAGAGTTCATCATGCTGTTTTGTTGCTATTTGATGTTCATGTATTCTGATGGCTACTTTCCTTCCTGTCTGTCTGATGTAGTGTTTGTGGCAGTCATTGCATGTATTTTGTAAACCACATTGGTTCTGCACGTTGTGGGAATGAGGTCTTTAATCCTTGTAAGTGTTTATCTTAGAGTGGCTGTGGGCTTGCGGGCCACCATGATACCTAGTGGTCTTAGGAGTCTTGTTGTCAGTTCCAATATGTTCTTGATGTATGGCAGTGTGGCCAGTGTGTTAGGGTGTACTGTGTCTTCGTTGTCCGTTTGGTAGGCATCTGCGGATGAAGTTGCACAGATATCCGTTTATGGCGAGGATTTTAAATAGATGCTCTTCCTCTTTCCTGCGTAGTTCCGGGGTGTTGCAGTGTGTCCTGGCCTGTTTAAATTGTGTCCTAATGCAGCTTTGTTTGTGGGCTTTGGGGTGGTCACTGTGGAAGTGAGGATTTGATCAGAATGGGTTCCTTTTCTGTATAATGAGGTTTGGAACTCCCCGTTGGTCATACGCTCAACTTTAACATCTAGAAATGGAAGTTGATTGTTGCTTTCTTCTTTCCTTGTGAATTTAATCCCTGTGAATATGCTATCGATGAGGTGGTTGATCTCTTCTAATTTGTTGCGTTCATCCACAGATGCCTACTAAACAGACAACAGGAGGACACAGTACACCCTAACACACTGGCCACACTGCCATACATCAAGAACATATTGGAACTGAGAACAAGACTCCTAAGACCACTAGGAATCATGGTGGCACATAAGCCCACAGCCACTCTATGACAAACACTTACAAGGATTAAAGGTCCCATTCCCACAACATGCAGAACCAACGTGGTCTACAAAATGCCATGCAACGACTGCCACAAACATTACATTGGACAGACAGGAAGGAAACTAGCCATTAGAATACATGAACATCATCTAGCAGTAAAACGGCACAACAAACTCTCCTTAATATCAGTACACTCAGACAATGAAGGCCATCAGTTTAACTGGGACAAGGTAACCATAGTAGCCCAAGGCAAACATAGACACACACGGGAATTCCTAGAGGCATGGTTCTCCACCCGTAATGCAATCAACAAACACACAGTATTGGACCCCATATACAAACCCATACAGATCAAAACTGGAAATGACACTACTCACCATAATGGACCAAACAGTATAAATTCTAAGCAGAGTAGAATAACACTGCTTCATCGGAGGCTCCACTGATGATGTCACCTAGCATGTTGACGAAACGTCTGAATGAGAACAAGCCAGCTCGATGAGCAAGTCAACAACTTTACTGAGGGTTCATCTCTTACAGGGAGTGAATGGGAACTCCTGCCCTTAAGTTGAGTCCCTTGATCAGGTACATGTTGCTTGTGAATGAGGGACCTCCTGGTAGATCACTGGCAAACCTGAGTGCCCCAAGCAGGATGATGCCTTTCGTAATTAGTTGGCCTTCAGATAAGACAGTCATTCAAATGTTTTACTGACCAAATTTGATCAGGGGGAGGTGGGATGGTGATGGGATCTCCATCCTGAACTATCCAAGAAGATCCCATAGTCCTTCCAGCGTCTGAATTTGCCTGTGGAGGAGGGAGATATTAAATTGCTCTCCTCATGTGCTGAAGTGTTGTATACGCATTAGAACAAATTTGAAACTGGGACATTATCATGTTGACTGATGCACTGATTGAAGGATGCATGTCTACATAGACCCTCAATAATGAACATGCATTGTTAATCTGCAAGGGCCAATAGGACAGATCCACTGGCAACTGCCAACATCCACAGAGCCCTTCCATTAATCCTCCAACTGAGGAACCACTTCATATCCTTAAGTTATTGCAGTAACTCTAATGATGCTTTTGCCAAATCAGTTCAGGCATGACTATATTTAGTATTTGTATTACACACCTCTTAGGCATTACAACAGATTTTAGTCCCCCATTCTCTTCAGTAGAAAGACCTGTTGTATTACACCTTAAATGGAAAACAAAGTTCTCTTAAGAGGCAGCTGTTGCAGTGATATCAGGGACCCACATCCTGCCCTCATTCTCCACTCTATGCTATTCTACAGTTTATATAATAAGCTGCATTGAAACATCTCAAATGACTGACAGACATTTCCGTGATCAGCTGTACTCACAATGATCGGCTTTAATGTGGTGATCCAATTTTCTCACTTAAGTTTCTCTGCACCATCGTTCATTTACACCTGCTGCTGATTTCAAAATATTTATCCCAGCAGCAGCTGAAACAGTGCAGGCAAAGGGCACGTCCACCAATTTCCTGCTGCCTGCTCAAGAAAACCTTAGAATTGGCTAATACCCGAGCTATCAGCTTCATCAGGCAATCAAGGTGAACCATTACTTTATCTGTTTCCTTTTCACATATCTTTTTACAGGCCTGAACGACTCATTTTGTTTTGCTGATCTTCTCAATCAGTGAATACCCCTAGCCACTGCTGACAAGGTATTTCAAGATCAAGTGTGTACAGTATACCTAATAAACCCTAGTCAAAGCAATATCACTATTTCATTAAGTGGATTTAATAATTGTTTTTTTATCAGTACTTTTATGCAGACAAGTTCAATCAGCAGAGTTATGGGGTGAGATACATGGTGGTCTGTATTTTAATACAAAATGTAATTTTATAGTCAGACTTAAAAAAATGGATGTTTGTGGTTTCTACCATTATGCAAAGAAGACAGTTTCCAAACAATCAGGAATTCCACTGCCCGACTCATTCCTCACTCCTCATGCTCAATCAAGTCAACCAGCATTCCTTCAATGACCACGTTAGGAGGTTGGGCCAGGAACAGTACCAGACATGCTTTAGAAAGAAACACCAGCATAGTGAAGTTGCAGCACAGGCCTATAAGCTAAATACCAAAAGTGTTAAGTGGTCCCATATCAAAAGATCAGGGAAAAACTCTGTAGCTTTGATGGACAGGGCTGAATCACCAGATGGAGTGGCGGTGGCTCAGTATCTTCTGACGGACAATTAGGGATGGGAACAAATGATGAACACATCCTATGAAAGAATAATAAAAAAGACTGTATAACATTCATCCAAGAATGGAAGATGGAGAAGCTCCATGTGATCTCCATTCCCAACAGGACTAGAGCCTAGAAGTAAATTTGAAAAACAACAGACTTTGATAAAAACGTGATGTGAACATTCTAATTCTGTCACCCCTCATATTCCCCAGCACCTACACATTATCTGGATTTAGCAGGCAGTGAAGAAGAGAGGTCCAAAAAAGGGCTAGTTTATAATTGGTTTATGAGAAGCAAGGCCATAGGAACGTCCGCTATTGCTGTGTCAGGCACCCCAAACCAGCCTGATTCTGCGTGTGCCCAAAAATGGAAAGTTGCAGAGTGATCCCAAAATAGGATATGTAGCTCGCTGGCAGCACAGTAATAAGGATCAGTCATTAAATAAACCAGAATATGGGGCTGGTTCTAACCTTCCCTGGTAGGGAAGGTCACAACTTCACAACTTTTGTCACAACTTCATTGTGATATTAAAAGTGGTTGCG